GGATGGCTCACTCGGATGAGTGTCTGATTCTTACTTTCGGCTCAGGTCTGATCGCGGGGTCCCGGGATCGAGCCCTGCATGGGGGTCTGTGCTGAGTGTGGGGCCTGCTTGGGATCCTCTCTGTCTCTGTCTCTGTCCCTCCCCTGCACCCTCTCTCCCTGTAAAAAGAAAAAGATGACTTCTCACGTCTCCAGTGGAAATAAAGGTATCGTCTTGTATGCCTTTCCAGGGAATCTGACTCCATGTGGACTCTGAGGTTGTCGTGGCCTTTGAGCTGTTTTACAATCAACTTCTCTCCTTTCGGAGGAGAGTGGATTCTCCCCTGCCTCCATGGAAAAAGCCAGGTGCGTTGGAAATGCGGCTCTTTAGAAACTCTTTTTGGCATTCTCGCTCAACTACCTAAAACGAGTTAGATAGAAATCTTTGAAAGGTGTCCGTTAATGTCCACATGGGGGTCACGATCATAGCATGTTTTGGACAGCGTCCCTTAATGTGGCACTAGTGTGTTCTCCCACGTGGCCCCACTTATCCCGGGCGTAGGAGGCTCCGTGGCCTGGGCGGGCAGGAGACCGGGTGCTGAGCAGCGGGCCTCAGGCGGCCACGCGGTTCCTACAGCGCTGTGCTATGGGGTGAAGCTTCCCCTCCCCCACAGATCGGGCTTTGCTGTTGCGGGACCTCAGGCCCCTCGATGCTTTCCACTGCCAGCACTTGCCACAGCGGCCCTTACTTGTTTGTGGAATGGCTTACGTGATGTGTGCCTTGGTCCCGGTCTGGAACTCCCTTGTGGTCAGAGACCACGTCTGTCTCATTTAGCACGGTGTGCTGGCTGTCTGGCGGTGACGGCCCGGTCACCCTGTGCTAAATCGTTCTCCAGCAGGTAAAGGGAGGGCATGTTCACACACCTTCCAGGGCTCCCGTGCCCTCTGCACATCTCTGGGCTGGAAGGACCGTCTCCTGTGACCTGTCCCCAAAGGCAGGGCTTGGATCTGGAGGATGTTCTAGAGTCTCTGCAGGAGGGAGTGTGGACAGTGGACAGAACAAGAGCTTTGGGGTTAGAAGGCACGGGTGCATCCTCCCTGAAGGCAGGGGGCTGTAGGCTCACCAAGGCATCAGCTTTGTCACTGGTAGGACCATGGCAGTGACCCCTCGTCTTGCGCTGTGAGCACGATGTAACAGGAGGTCCCTGTGGCTGTCGGTCTTGCGTGCTCCCTCAGCTGGGCTGTTCAGACAGCAGGCCACCTGTGCAGGTAACTCCGGGGACTGTAAGGAAGGGAGATTATCCTCCTTCACGTGGGTGGGCCTCACACAACCAGTCGAAGGACTGAAGAACAAAATCTGAGGTTTCCTGGAGAACACGAATTCTGCCCCAAGACTGCAGCATTAGGTCCCGGCTGAGCTTCCAGCCCCTGGGCCAACCCCGCACCGCTCAAGAGCCAGTTCCTCGAATGAATCCCACTTTGCGTGTCTCTAGCTCTGCTTTTCCGTCTTTGTAGCTGTGCCCATGTCTCCCCTCCACTGTCTACGTCCTCCTGGTTCTGTCACTCGTGGGAAGTGTGACCCATCGTCTCTGAAAACTGCAAAGTCAAAGCACCGTGTGCGTGTCAGACCGTGTGGCTGTTCCTTTCGCGCCTCTTTGTGAGTTTTCTTCACGTGGTAGCATTTTGACGGCCACCGGGTATCGGTCAGCTTCTGCCCGAAAACAGCCCCCGGGGGCCAGGCCCGCGGCCTCCTTGGCTTTCTGGTCCAGCACTGCTGTGTGTGCTGCAGTTTGTCCGGGCTTCTCTGGTCTGGGATCCACAGGAGCAGGAGTGTTCTGGAACACGCTGTTGCCAGTCAGAGGAACCGGGCAACGGTGGCCCCTGCGCACGGTCCTTTGCCGAAGGCAGGGGCCGCTGGGCTAGTGAGAGTCCTTGTCTCAGGACCGCAGGGCCCCGAGGGGTGGGGGCAGGATGCGGACACACTCTAGGAGCCTGGAGCCAGCGGCCCGCTCGTCTCTGTGTCACCGGAGGCCACATCCTGCTGTGGGCAAGCCGCCTTCCCCACCTGGTCCTTTCCCCCTGGCCCGGCCCTCTGCAGCCTGCATTTGAGCAGAGCCTGGGGAAGGCCAGGTGGGGCTCACCCAGCCCACATCCACCAGGGCCGAGTGGGCCTCGCTGTCTGGACGGCAGGCGCTTCAGGGATGCCCGTGGACGATGGGGGAGGGGCCGGCACAGGCGGGGGCGGGGGCGGGGGCAGGGACGATGTGCAGGGCCCGAGGCACAGAGCTACTAAGGGCTGAAGGAAGGGGCTGGGCTTGGCCGGGTGCAGCGGGGAGGGGGCAGTGTGAGCCGAGATGTGGGGTCCGAGGCAGCCCGAGGGACCGGCCGGTCAGTACCCGAGCGCCTGGGGATGGGGCGCCGGGTGTGGCAGCTCAGGCAGCGGGGTGGGCGGGGCTCCGGCGCCTCTGAGGCTCTGGGCGTGTCTCTACGGGCCCAATTCCCTGCAGACTCAGATGCCCTGGTTCCCCAGGCAGTGTCTGAGCGTGGGGCGTAGGGGGTGTAGGGGGCCCTCCCCTGTGCAGTGACCGAGCCGCCATCTGGGGTGCTTCTAATAGTCCACAGCCTGCTGCGTGTGGTCCGGG